TAAATTGAGCACTTTACACATTTTGTTTAAAAATATATGTAAATTGCTTCATATTAACTCAACTCAGTTTAGTGGAACCACTTGACATAACTTGGGTGAGTAAATTCAACTCCTCATTGTTTAGAGTGCATAACTCACTCGTTTCATGATGAGTTCAGTCATATTTAAATTTGTAATGTGTAACTAGGTGTGAAATTGTAAAATAAAGAAGCAAAAGTATCATTTATGTTTTAAATGAAACAAAATAAAAAAGTTAGGATTTTAAAAAATACTTAGTAAAATTACAAATCCTCCAAAAAAGTTGTTTAAGTACCGTAACAAAGTAGATGTACTCAGTTGCACTCCTCTGTCTTCAACATTATGTTTGAGTTTAACTCATKCATCATGAGTTAATCCTTTTCCTTTGCCTTGTGCCATCTACTCAGCTCTACTTCACCACTTCACCAGGATGTTGTTTGTGTGGCACATCACAGAACCCCCCCCAGTTATTTATTTTGCCTCAGCTCTTCCTTGGCTCTGTCAAGCAATCATGCTGTGGAAACACAACAAACTGCTGTGAATTAAGTGATTACATTGTGTGCGTGTATGTGTGTGTCTTTGTGTTGTTATGACATCATGTCCAACATTCATCAGGAACCCGCACAACATCRCCACAATCACACAGCACGAGGCGCCAGTGCCTTTACAGTCAGCTAACACACTCAGAGGAGTGGGAAAATAGGTATTCAATCAAGGTCACCTTGCACATTTACTCCTTTCTCCTCAACCTGCTTTTCATCCAGCACCTGGTGAGCAAAGAGATAGATGAGGGACCAGTTTCTCTCCTCGGGGCTTTGCACACAAGTGGCCCTGCTCACACACACATCTGAGGGTGGTGGAGTGTGATGCATGACTGTGAAGATGCGAAGGGACAGACAGGGATTTTGACTCTAGTTACTCCTCCCCCGCTCCCGCCTCCAGTTTGGCAGGRCTCCTCTCGTTATGTGTCGGCGTGTTTGTACGCGGCTGTCTGTGTGCACCTTTATTAACCCGGCGTGCTCTCTCCACCCCGCAGGTTACACCGTGTGGTGGGAAATACCCGACGTAAAGGCAAGTCGCGAGGAACGCTCCTTGTCCAACGCCACGCTGCAGTGCCAGCTGACGGGGCTCACCTCCACCACCGCGTACACGATCCAGGTGGCCGCAGTCACCGCTGCGGGACAGGGCGTGGTCACRTCCTCCACCATCTCCACCGGCGTTCCACCAGGTGCTGGAGTCAAACACGTGCTTCTGACAAACGGATGTTAAAAGCTSTTTTCTCCCTGTGTCTTTGTGCTCACGAGGCAGAGTAAATATGAGCGATGAGCTCCCACGACGTCGCTGTCGTTCCTCAGGCTGATAAGTGGCTGTTACTGTGCATCCATGAATCATCACCCACACCGCAGACATGCACACATTCACATCCGCAGACAAAAGTTTACAGCAACTCACRGAGAGCTTCGGTTTCTTGGTGTGTGTGCTTAGAAGAGGCTTTTGTGTGCATGACGAATTTATGTGATTGGACTCGGGCCAAGCTGCAGTCATTATTAGTACTGATTAACTGCAAATGGCAAAGTAGAAAAGATGCAGCAAAAAAATGAGATAAAGCATRAAAACAATCAGAGAAGAGGAATGAGAGAGAGTGAGAAGAAAAGAGCGGGAAACAAAGTGATGGAAGAAGAGAAAATGCTCTTTTCGTGGAACTGAAAGACCAAAGTCTCTCAGAAATGGACTGTGTGGAAGTGCTGGAGGACGGAGGGGCAAAAAAAAAAACCTGCAGCTCAGACAAGCAGGATTTTTGTCCTAACATTTTCTAATGACTAATTTATGAGTAAAAGCAGAAAAAGTGAGAGCAAGATGGAAACAGACAGTTCTTAGATTTAGAGGTTATTCATTAATTCATGAAAGCAAAAGAGTGAAAGAAAGACGAAGGGCTGAAGATTAGGKGGGAGAAAAGAGCTGAAGAATGAAGTGAGAGGAAAGAGGGGAAAGAGAAATCCACCAAACACAGATTCTTCTCTGGTTTTATTTATTCATGAATTCATGGAGTTGAGAGAATTTTGTCATTTATCTAAGCAGGACAGCTGATATCAACATTTCCAGATTATAACCTTTACAAGTTGTCTGCGTGCATTTACACAGCAGTGGTAATATTTTTAGCTCTGAATTTGTTTGCCATGCCTCACATATCCAGACTGAAACAGTAGCCAGACACCGTCACATTAAACTGTCCAGTTACCAGAGTAAATCTGATTGATATTTCCTTAAAGCTGCCGTTCGGTTTAAGAAGTGTGCAGGATGTTAAAGGAGGTACTAAACGAACGTTACAGAAAAGTTGCCTCTAGTTTTTGTTGCTTTTGATTTGAACTGCTGAGAGCGAGGCAGATAGTGTTTGTGATTGCTAAAAATGTCAGTTTAATTGACAGAAACAAGCTGTCACTTACTGGATTCATTAGCACGCCATTTTAAAAAGCTGTTGTCATGTGTGTCGCTTGCATGACTAATGCCAATTCAGTCCAGCAGCTGTCAGCAAAGACGTCTGTTCGGAGGCAGTAAATTGTTTGTGATGCATTTGAAATGTTGGCATGTCAAAAAAAAGTAGATTAAAAAATGATAGGAATTTATTGATGTTTGAATTGTGCGACATATCATTATTCCTCTCCGTTTTACTCCAGGCTTATAAAACATGGCGAGGAGAAAATAATCGTTGTCTAGTTGTTGCTCAGTACAGCTCTCGGTTTTAAATTTGACTTAAACAAGTATTCAGTGTGTAGTCAGTGGTGTTTAGCAGCACATGCCAATAAAYAAACCCGTGTTCTATCAGCAGTGCTGTTGTCAGACTTTTCTTTGTACCGTTTGGTAAATCAGTTTCCAATTATTCTCTCCCTTAGTTATTGAAACTGTCAAGCTTGGTTTTCCAGTGTGCAGCGTTTGCCCACTGGGGATAACAGGTGTTGTTTAATTATCTTTCCTGTCAACTTTTACAATAAACAGCTTTTTATTTAGTCTTTGAATTTTTTTTACTCTTTCGTTTTAGGAGAAGAAATATCTAAAGTGCTGCTTGAAACTGGAAACGGGCTACATTTTGTCAGCTCSGCCGAGGTCGGCTCTGTCTGCAGAGTGCTGACTTACTGCTTATTATTTGTGTGACAGGGGTTCTGGCCTCAGCGATCAGCTGTGAGGGTATTCATTTTCCAGTCAAGTCCTTGTGTTTTAGCGTCTCACTCCCCRCCAGCGTGGCCCAGGCTGCCACAGCTGGTCGGCCAAAGTGCCCGCTTCCTGTCTCTTATTATTGCCATGGAGATGGAACAAAGTGGGAATGAGAATGGGTCAAATGTAATTTCACAGCTTTGCTGCCTATTCACACGTTTATGGGCGTTAAATGGAACATAGTGGACTATGCATTTATTCCACATCGCCCACACTGCTGTTCAGATTTATCTCTTCTCTGTATTCCATGATTAACCTTGAGGGAGGAGGGAGGGTTGGGGGGGCAGGATTTCAGGGAAAACTATAAAAGCTGCAGCACAAGTGCCAGTTCTTTTAGTTAAAATTAACTTTTTATATGTTTATATTTTTAGTGGCCAAAGGTGGATATAGTAATGAATAAAAAAGGACTAGTAGAGAACTTTTTAAGCCTTCTTCATACTTAAATTATTATTGGCAACATAATTYCCTTTATTCTATTATAAGTATCATTGTTATTATATTAGAGAGTAAATGATGCAGTTCTGACAACAGCTTTAGGATTTTTTTCATACTTTTGTTGCTTAATGGAAAAGTCTATGCTGTAATGTTTGTGCACCTGACTGAAGTTATTTCTCATGTTGTCTTTTTCTTCTTGAGCAAGACATTTTAGCTCTGAAACTACACAAATAAATGTATTGTGAAAAGTTGTACTGAATTTCAGATACACATTTTGTGGTARTAATGTTTAACTTTAAACAGTTCGAGAATGGTCTTCATTCAGTTTAACACACGCCTCTCATTAAAACATATTACAGACACATAACGTTTTTAAATTCACGCTCTACTTMCTGGTTGAGAGCTGTTAACCAAAACACATTGAGAAATCTTCCACACATGAAAAGTATGTATTAAGACAAATGTGTGACTTGTTGATAAGTCAAAAACCTTCTAAAAGCACAGTAAATATGTGACCCATCACATCGAAAAAAGGATTAAGTCCAAAAGTGATGTATGGAGAAATTGGCAGATAAAGAGTTTTGATTTAAATGTGTGCAAAAACTGCATTATGTCAAAATGAATAAATTATTTATCAATGTATCATTTGAATGAGCTGTCTGAAATATAATCCTAAAAAATTTTGAAGCATTTTTTTTGAGTAGTAGCAACAAAAAAACTGATTTTGAGGAAAAACGCCCTAAAATTTTGAATTTTCTCTGTGAGCTAGCAATGTTTGTGTTTCTTCTCAACAAGGAAATCTTAATATACAAATACTACTTGAGGTTTCCTCTTTATATTGACATAAAAAAATCACTCAATAAATTTACATAAAATTAGGATTCAGATCAAACATTAATGTATTATGGTGGCCAACAAGACAAATTAAGTCTTATCTCTGGATAAGCTTATGACATCAGAATGATCCAGGTATGAAAGTGTAGCTTTTAAAGCAAGGAATCTGAAAATATAATTAGGTCATTTTGACCAAATTTCACTTAATCCTCATTTTGATATGATGGGTCACATATTACAGAAATATAGACAAAAGGATTGCACATTGTTATAAAAATATTCTAAACATCTCAATAAGAAAATATGCGTATGTAAGTGCATTTAAGACTCAAGAAAAAACAAAATATTTTATATAGCAAAAATCAAATGAAGGAAATGAGGCTTTTGATTTTAAATCTTTCCAAGGTTCTGTTAAAGTGTTAAAACTGCAGTATACTTTAGTCATGAAGAATCATTGAAGATTTTCTTGCAGCTTTGAGTAAAGCTCTGTTCTTCCTGTTTACTTGCAGAGCTTCCTGGTGCGCCTTCTAACTTAGTCATCTCTAACATCAGCCCTCGAGCAGCAACACTTCGCTTTCGCCCCGGTTCGGATGGCAAAACCGCCATATCAAAGTGGATAGTTGAAGGACAGGTGAGCGCGCGCTTGTGTTGCCCGTGCACATCTGTGATCCGTGTTCCACCCAGCAGGAGGGGAACTGTYGCAACAAACTTTTCTYWCTGYCAGGTGGTGAAGGAYGATGGAAAAGAGGAGCCGTGGAGAGTCGTGTACCAAAAAGACAACCAGCCAAACACCGACACRCTGGAGATCCCCAGCCTGACTCCGTTCACTCAGTACAGGTGAGCRGCAAGCACACACTCAAACACAAGCAGGCATAAATTGCACGCACACACCGCCATTCACACATCTCACTCTCCGGCGGTTTCTGCAGCATTGCAAGGCTCAGGTGAAGTTCGATAAATCACACAGGCGCACAGAGAGACAGTTCCATCTGAGACTTTTCTGTTTGTCAGCACCTTCACAGCTGCAGCATGCAGATCCTTATTACCCTCCTGCAACTAGCTAAAGGAAAAGAGAGGGGGGGCAGGGGGGATTTGATGAAAAAAGTTGGGAGGGCAGCAGAAAGTATTAAAGAGAAGAAGAGACAAGTAATAAAATACCAGGAGAAGAGGAAGCAGACGAGGAGAGAGGAGTGTCTGTAATCCTTCCTTGAAGAGGTTACACTTTGTAAACGTGATCTGTCGGCCCTCTGAACAACAGCTCCTCTTTACTTCTCTATGTCTGTCTGTCCTCAGTCGTTCCCTCTGTATTCCGTCGCCTGCCCTCCAGTATCTCTGCTTTCATCTGTGATGAAATTGCGGTGTGCATGCACACACTGTACATACAATCACAGGGATTATGTTGTCACAGGCAAAACCAGTGGGATGTTAGATGAAATGATGCACTTGTCTGTATTTCTTATCCCCTGCTTTTAGGTCTCTTTTTACTCCCTGCTCTCCTTCTCCCATCAACGGAACAACAACTCACAGATGTAGTGTCTCACACGCAAGCTGCCAATCACGTTTTATCAGTCGCAGCTTCATGAAGCAGGGCTGCAGTTTGAAGTGACAAGAGTAACAAAGGCTTCCTCGTGGCTGCTTTTGTGTCTAAGGGTCTGCATATTTAGCTCAGTTTTTTTTTCTTTCTTTACCAGGTGAATATTTGCTTCATTCAGACAACAACTTTGGGTGGAGAGTTCCAGCTCAAGATTTTATTCATCAACATAAAAAACAAAAGAGACACCTAATTAGATATAAACCCAAATTATTGAAAAAAAATATTTAAATCAACTCGTTTACAGTATGTTCTGATTTTGATAATGAAATAACAAAAGTTGAAATAGTTTTCTCACAGAAAATGTGGGTGGGAATTCAAAAACGATGTTCTGACCGAGACTTTTGGGAGAATTGTCAAAATAAAGTTTCATTTTTATTGATGGAATATTGACCAGTATTCTGGAGGCAGAAGAGCTGAGTTGCTTTAAGTGGTGTAATTTTTCTTTTTGTTGTTGTTGCCATTGATCATACTGAGGGAAGCTGTCAAAAGTTAGGAAGCTTAAAGCTCAATGTGTTTGTGTCTTTATTAGACTGACACTAAGACCTCTAGGATCACAAATAATCTTAGTWAAATCTTTATTTTCCTTTTAGTTCATTGTTTTAAAAAAACAATAATTGCATCATAAATATAACTCTGGCAAATCTGAAATATTTCTGTGTCAAAATCATTGATAAGCCTGTTGATGTCCTGTTTATCTCTTGTGTTTCAGTTGTTAGCAGATCCCTGAACTGTAATCTGTTTATTTWTCAGGATTCATGTATTGATACAGTTTAACTCCATGTAAAGCATGTTCTTAAATGATTAGAATGATTAGAATCATTTGTATTGTATTGCTTGTATACAATGAAAGTGATAGGATTAGAGTTATAACCATGTGAATGGTTAACTTGTTATTTGAGCCAGAACTAAATGCTAACAGGATCATAACTACAGCTGGACTTTCAGTGTGATTTTAGAGAGGAGCATGTAGATACTGCTACAGCTGGAGCTGAACCGGAAAGTAGAAAGAAGAAGAACAGCACTAAAGGTTCTTCACTGTGAAGAAGTTTTTTTTACACTTTCTTTTAAAAAAAGAGTTTAACTTAAACAGTCTTTTCGCTTCATTGAAGTAATTGGTTGAATCTAGACTATGGCAGATGCTAATAGACAGATGGCTTATCCAGTGACATTTTTTTAAAGTATCTTTTCCGAACAGTTTCCAATTACAACTTCTGTGATGGTTCGGTGTAAAATCCATCTGGTGCCTGGTCACCGTGCGTATGAATCAGTTGGGATTTATATCTCTTGCAGATTCTAAGTTAATATTTTGGAAGCAACATTAGGGATACATTTTGGGGACAAGAAATTGTGCAAACAGCAGCTAGATATAATACAGAAATTACAAAATTGATTGAATGCATGGTTCTGGTTGTGGAGGTGGAACTGTCCTTTATATTTCCTGTCAAATATTATTTGCATTTCCTTTAACACAGAGATTAACTCCCAAACCATACTTATTTAATGCACACATGGCACACTGTGAAAACCATCATTAATCACTTCACCCTGTCTGTAGTCATGTTGTCAGCTGATTTTATCTGGTTTTTTTCCTTCATCAATTTAGGCTTATTTGTGTTTTTTTCCTTCATAAACATGAGTGTGAGGGGTAAATTTATGCATTTAGTTACACAAAAGGGAAGATACATTGATGTGTTCAGGAGTATTTATTTTTATAGACAACAACAATCAACTGTAATTTTCTGCAGCAACAGTTTCGGGCAAAGTTAAAGACTCCGAATTATGTTATTTGTACTGTTACAAAAGAAGTACATCTTTTGATGTCTTGTTTTTATACTGCCTTGTGTTTCTAGCATCTTTTTCTTCATTTGTTGGATTGCTACTTCAGGTTTAAAGAAATCCTTCAGGTGCTTAAAAGAAATCCTTGGATTAGTAGTTTATCTAGTTGATTTTTGTTGTTCTTTTTATTTACAAAGGTGGTTGTATATCAGTAAAGCAGTATTTAAAGGTCGCTGTTAACATGTTAAAATATGTAATAATATGAAAACGTTATAAACTGTAGTACAGTGTTGAGTGTTCATATGCCTAATGACAGTTTACGATGGCAAGAATCATTGGATTAGGGCTGGGTGATTAAACATTAAAAGCATACAGGTGCTGGTCATAAAATTAGAATATCATGAAAAAGTAGATTTATTTCAGTAATTCCATTTAAAAAGTGAAACTTGTATATTATATTCATACATTACATACA